AATATAATGGTTTAGGAAAATAGAAACAAGCTCTATCTTTAAAAAATTGTAATGAGATTAATAATTGCATGTATTCAATAGTAATAAAGTAATAAGTTAGCTAAAGGTTTATACAATTTGTTGATAATTATTAGCTTATCTTGGAAATGATAATGTTCATTAAGTGCTTCATGCTAATTACTTTGTTTTTTAAATCATTCGAGATCAGTGATTTCGGGATGAGGATAAGCATGATTGATTTTAGTGCATGTTCTTTTCGGCAAAGATATAGATAGCATAAAGTTTTTTTATTTACAAAATACGGTATATTCAATAATGTCAAAAGTCATTGTCTTCTCTATGTATCTTGTTTATTTGGAGTATGTATGCACAAAACTAATAACTTGCTATTAATTAGTGATTTTTTAATAAGATTCTTATCTTATTAAGCCAAGCATCCTAATTAAGTTTCTACAAAAATCACCGGGCACAGGTTTTGTGTGATCACACATACATAATAATCAGCTAAAGCATAAATGGAGATATCATGTATTTAAGATCCTGTGATTGTTTCAAAAAACAATACAGTCAACACTCTTTAAATGCAAGCTCAATAAATGCATGCATTATGTACACACTCCTTAGATGCACGTTCTTGTTCAAATATATACTTTTATTGCACGTTCTTGTTCAAAATATATACTTTTATAAATGCAATCTCTTTCTCTAAACGTCTTATCAGTTTATCCCGGCAAATTGCATTTAGGGAGAGTTGAACTGTATGTGTGTTTCAGCGTCGATAGTTGATTCATAATCCAATGACAGGTCAGCTGAGGCACACATATTCTTAGTAACTGTAATAGCAAATTATCCGTCATTGTGAATTTTCTTTTTAAGCATATCAAAAGCCAAATTAAGTTATGAAGAGGAATCAGATTACGTAATCAAATTAAAAAACGCCATGAAAAGTCTCACTGAATCTACATTGTATGCAGTAAGTACATGTACGTGTAGCGGTAAATACGTATACGTAATTTGATAGCCAAAAAACATATCGATACGTATATCGATATAGGAAGTCAGCTATAAATGCAATGATAATATCCTTTCATAAAGCCCCTCACTTTTACTGTGTTTTACATGAGCATACGTAATTGAGTGTGTAAATGCAGGACAAACAGATGTCTGTAAAAGTGGCCTTTTACGTGTCCTTTACAGACATATCTGACTTTCTCGTATCATTTTTAGACATACTACAGTGCTTATAGGAATCGGTGCGTGCTCCATCGACACCAAATAATCATAGGATGGTTAAGATTCCATTCACGTATGGTTCATTGAAATAAATCAATTCTTTATTTGAGGTAAAAATCAAATTTATTTAGTTAATGTACTTCAAGAAAAAGCTAACGAACGAAAAAATTGAAGAAACAAAGAACAAACGAACGAATGAACAGAAGTATTAATGAACAAAATCTTATAAAATAGATCATTTTTTAATAAAATTGTCGCTATACTTCGTGTTATTTTAGTGTTTGAAACCTTTGAACTTGTACATGTAAATTACAATATACATAGTGACTTTCGATAAATCGTATTTTATTAGTAGAATGAACCACTGATTTATCGAGCATTACTGTATATATGAAGAAATTGTTAAATTACAAATCGTCAAAATCGATACTCGACAAATAAATGTAAAATCTGGGAAAGAGATGTGAGATTGTGAAGATAGCTATATTTGTGGCGTCGATAATTGTGTTCATATGCAATTGATTTTTTACACAACAAATCCACCTCGTATACTCTCTTTTAGCATTAATTACATCATTAATTCATCAAATATACCTGAAGTTGTTATCCATATTTTATGGGTTTCCTGATTAAAATTATTTTATTGATATTAGTGACTCCGCTTACACATTGTAATTCACGAGAACAATGTCATTTGTCAAATTTACTAAATAAGCAACTAAAGAAAAACTAAACAATCGAAAAAACAGGCAGAACTACTAGTAAAATAGACGAAGCGCAGATAGAACAAATTAACAAGCAAACGAAACTCGCATAAAGATAATGAAATTGAAATAACAAATCCAGGCAGAACTACTAATAAAATACACGAAGAACAAATAAAACAAATTAACAAGCAAACGAAATTCGCATAAAGATAATGAAATTAAAATATTATTTACGAAACATTGAACAGAATTAAGTTTAAATTACGCGAATTATTATTTAGTGTTTTAGTCATAAGGAAAAGAGTGTTGAGAAGAGAAATAAATATATTATATAGCGATAAAATAAATTTACGGAAAAGATGATCAAAAAGAAACTGTCAATTGTAAAAATGACTGTGTTATTTCGAATGTAAAGAATTGCTTAATAATGGTTTTGGTGAACTATATTAATACTGTGCAATATCAATGATTGCTGCAAGTGTTGAAGAGGGTGGTGTGATTGGAGCCTGATATCGTTCATATCATTGAGAACGTGATAGTCTGCAATTATTTTTAATAAACCATTATCGTTATTGATTTCATCAGTGTTAATTAATAAGGAAGAGTCGTCATTGATTGTAGAAGGTAGAGCTGAATTAGCATTGATCATAGGAGTATTACTACTAGTTGTTGAAACGATATCAGTGCGAGCAAATTGAACTGATTCTGTATAATTATTTATTAATGGGGGCAACATTGAATCGACTGGGCGTTTTTTTTGTCCCCATAAAATAAATTTTCTGCAGTTTGAATTTTTCGCATTTTTCACATTTTTCGGTTCATACTTATAATTAGGATATGTGTGTTTATGATTCTCACGAGCTATTTTTTCCAATATTTTGAAGAAATGCTTGACCTCACTTGACAACTGTCGCCACTTCAGGCTACACACTTGAGCCATATGCTTGACATTCTGTTTGACGTTAGGGTTACAAAGACTTAAATTTGCTTGATAATCTTTTCGAAAAATAATCCAACTGTTTTGCGGACGTGGTGGATTCTCAAAATTAAGGTGCCTTTTTACAGATGGTTTTGTTAATGCGTCGATTGAGAGTGTCAATTGGTAAGGGCATTGTTGTAAAATTTGTGTTTCAATATCA